AGTGTTCACCCAATATTTCCAGTACCCACTTGGCACCATACATAGTTATTACAGTATTATTGACTATACTCCCTATGCTGTACATCTGAAATCTTTTAAATTAAGAATTTGCCAAAACCGGTTTGGCTCAGTGGATAGAGCGTCGGCCTGCAGACTGAGGGGTCCCGGGTTCAATTCCGGTCAAGGGCATGTACCTGGGTTGCAGGCACATCCCCAGTGGGGAATGTGCAGGAGGTGACTGATCGATGTTTCTCTCTCATCGATGTTTCTAGCTCTCTATCTCTCTCCCTTCCTCTCTGTAAAAAAAAATCAATAAAAATCAATAAAAGAATTTAAGATTTTAAGATTTTTAAGAATTTAAGATTTTTCACATTTGTAGATGTAGTATTATTTGCCACCACATACTTTGAAAAACACTGGTTTCAAATATTTCCCATTTACCTGTTTTTCAGTCATGAGTCTGTTTGATGATATACTGGACTGCTGGACTTGAGGGGCTGCTGGAGATACAGTTTTCCTTTGCAGAACCAAAGAAGTAGAGACTGGCCGTGAAAAATTTTGATTTGCCTAAATTAAAAAAGAAAAAAGTGCAAGAGGTGTTAAATGAAATTATACTTAAAAGAACCAATACTCTTGAGCAATTTAAGCCATTCCTGTGTCAAAACTTTTGTTACTTCTTAGAAAGCTAATTTAAAGAATGATTAGAATAAACCCTATCTTACAATGTTCTCCTCTAGATATAAAACAATATGGGGTTTTACACACATACCAGCACAAAGAAAAATATTTTTGTTTTAACTGGATATGAAAAGCACATGATGCTAATAAACTGTTACCTTTTAGAAGCTGCTTTTCAAAAAAACTAAAAGAATTGTGCCTGACCCAAAAGTTACGGGCCAGTCTAACAATTCACTGGACTGACTCCAAGGATGAATGGAATGCTACTTTCTTAGGTGGACTTTATTTCTAAGTAAATCAGAGGTTAGCAACAAAGGATTCTGTTTGACAGGCACACACAAAGTTTATATTCAGTCTAACCTACCATCACTTGCTCTCATTATCTAAGACTGTACCATTCTATAGAAAAAAAATTCTTTGGGTTGTTTGATATATAGGTATAATTCCTCCCCTCCAGAGGCACAATCCCACATATTCATTAGCATCATGGAATTTTAGAACTTGAGAGGACCTTGAAAATTGTTTAATATGAAATCTCTACCTGTTCACAGCTGGCAGAAAAGAGTGTAGGGAGAGCTGTACCAATCTATCAGGTACCAGAGCCATCTGAGGCCCAGGGATGTGCAATAATTTTCCAGGACTGATTAGGGGTAGGCCTCCTTCCGGCCAGTTCAATGTTTCATCCAAAGCACACTTCTGCTTCAGAGAGTGAAATCCAACTAAACAATTTATTGGTCACTAATAATTTATTTTTAGCTAAACCTAGTAACATATTATAGATTCTCAAATGCTGCCATTTTTGCAGTTTCACATCAGTCCTTTCTCCCTTTAAACTCTGGTCTCTCTCAATAACTCAATCACCTACTACATTAATCCCTTCTGCCTTTATTTTAAATAAAGATCCTTTTGACCCTAACTGGTTTGGCTCAGTGGAGAGAGCGTTGGCCTGAGGACTGAAGGGTCCCAGGTTTGATTACAGTCAAGGGCATGTACCTTGGTTGCAGACACATCCCCAGTTAGGGGGTGTGCAGGAGGCAGCTGGTCGATGTTTCTAACTCTCTATCCCTCTCCCTTCTGCTCTGTAAAAAAATCAATAAAATATATTTTTTTTTAATAAAAAGATCCTTTTAAAAAATGTCAGCCAACTTCAGTTACTAGCTTTTTAACTTTTCATTCGAGAAATTTTTTTAAAACTACACAAAAGTAGAGAAAGACTATAATGAACTCATGTATTCATCAATCCAGCTCCAATAACATTTTTCTATTCTTGTTATATTTCTTCCTTACCCACTTATATTTCGGTATACATGCTTAACAAATATAGACTCATTATCACACCCAATAAAAATAACAGTAATTCTTTACTATTACCTAGTATCTAATCCATGTTCAACTTCCCCAAATATCTTGTGATTTTTTTCAAAATTCCAAAATTCCATATAGCACACACGTTTCTTTTAATTTTTAAGTCCCAGTCTCCTTTTTAATATGGCATTTGTTAAAGAAACAGGCCATTTGTCTTCAGAGTTACCCGCATTTCAGATTTAGCTTATTGCATTCTCATCATTTAACATATTTATCCATCTCCTATATTTCTTGTAAACTGGTTATATCTAGAAGCTTTATTAAATTTCAGTTCAGTATTTTATGACAAGAATAATTCAGAGGTAGTGCTTTGTTCTTCCTACTGCATCACCATTAGTAATCAGCCAAAGTTTAAAGTGGGAAGAATACACCATGTAAACCAGACATAAGGTTAGTAGACATCAATGTAAGAGAATCTCCCAAAAAGCATGGAGCCACATATTCTAACAGTCTTCCAACATCCACCTGGACCTCTCTCTAATCTTCAAAATGCCATCTCCCTCCATGTTCAAGACCTAGGAGTTCAATCTCTTCTTCACTTAACAGTTAACTCTTACTTGACCTTCTGATGTCAGCTCAAATTTCCTTCTTCAGGGAAATCCCCCCTGATTCCATGACTAGATCAGGTTCTCGTTATATGCTCTTGTAGCACTATAAAGGATAAAGTATAGAGGTTTAGAGTTCAGAGACAAATGGCCTGAGTGACTACCAGCTTAACCATTTATTAAACTGTGTGACATGGACAAACTCATTAACATCTTTGATCCTTGATACCTTCATTTGTAAAAGAGTAATAATAATATCTACACCTCAGAGGTTGAATTACGTCAGACAACATGTAGAAAGTATTTAATACAAGTGTGTGATACATAGAAATGTATAGATAATTGGTAGTTGTTATATACAAGTATGCTGAACAAAATGGAACTTACCTAAGCATACAATCATATTATCTTAGACCTTTTTCTACAAATTACTCAGCTGTTATAAGTTGTTTTACATAATATGTCTAGGTAAAACTAAATTCCAGGACATTAGTAGTCTTTTTTTGTTTTTTTTGTAATAGTCAAATAGGCAATCTGCCTCTAAGAAAGCCAAATAAAACTTTTTTTTTCTTCTTAAAAGCATTGAAGAACTAACAAAATAATGAGGAATTACCAGGACAAAAAAAAAATTACTAAAATGAGAACACCGTTTTTTCTTGAAGGCATTTGCAAATCCAAAGAAAAAACTGTGAGAATGAGTGATAAAGAGCTAAGTCAACTACCATCAACAAATGACAAGTGCTGGCCAGGATGTGGAGAAAAGGGAACCCTAATACAATGCTGGTGGGAATGCAGACTGGTGCAGCTACTGTGGAAAACAGTATGGCTCAGCTGGGTGTAGCTCAGTGGTTGAGCATCAGCACAGGAACCAAGAGGCCAATGACTGGATTCCCAGTCAGGGCACTGTCGGGGTTGCAAGCTCGATCCCCTGTGGTGGGTGTGCAGGTGGCAGCTGATCGATGATATTTCTCTCTCATCAATGTTTTTATCTCTCTATCCCTCTCCTTTCCTCTCTGAAAAGTCAATAAAAACATATTTAAAAAAAAACAGTATGGAGTTTCCTCAAAAAATTAAAAATAGAACTGCCATTTGACCCAATAGTCCAACTTCTAGGAAGATATCCTAAGAATCCCCAAAACCAATCAGATAGAATATATGCACCCCTATGTTCATAGCAGCACAATTTACAATAGCTAAGCTCTGGAAACAGCCCAAGTGCCCATCACCAGACGAATAGATAAAAAAGCTATGGTACATTTATACCATGGAATACTATGCAGCAGTAAAAAAAAAAAACACAAAAAACCAAAAAGAATCTCTTACCCTTTGAGATAGCATGGAGAGACCTAGAAAGCATTTTGCTAAGTGAAATAAGTCAGTCAGAGAAAGTATCACATGATCTCACTCATATGTGGACTCTAATGAACAGAATAAACTGATGAACAAAATAGATCTAGAGACACAGAAGCATGGAACAGACTGACGAATCTCAGAAGAACTTGTATGACCCATGAACACAGGCAATAGTGTGGTAAAGGTATAGAATGGGTGTGGAGGGGGGAAAAGGGGGGCCATCTGTAATACTTTCAACAATAAAGATAATTTTTTAAAATAAGTAAACATATAATACATTTTTTTAAAAAGAGCAAAGCCACCCTATTTAAAATTGCTACCTGGAAGTGCTACAACTCTCAGGAGAAAGGTGAGTGAGAAGTAAACCATCTAGGCCATGAACTGAAACCTGGCTTCCACTTCTCTATTTCATTCCAATATCTCAACAAGGTCCCAAATTAATAGTGCCTCCAAATAACAATAGTGCTGTCAGAGCAAATGAAATCTCTGGAAAAAGGCCTCAAATTATTCCCACAGCCCTAACCGGTTTGGCTCAGTGGATAGAGCGTCGGCCTGCGGACTGAAAGGTCCCAGGTTCGATTCTGGTCAAGGGCATGTACCTTGGTTGCAGGCACATCCCCAGTGGGAGATGTGCAGGAGGTAGCTGATCGATGTTTCTCTCCCATCGATGTTGCTAACTCTCTAACCCGCTCCCTTCCTCTCTGTAAAAAATCAATAAAATATATATTTTTAAAAATTATTCCCACAAAAAAAGTTTCAAGTACAATATCCAGAAAACAACCAAAGATAACCAAGACATATAGGAAACAAGACATAAGGGGAACAGAACCAATAGTCAAACGAAACTAACCCACAAAGAAAGACTTCTAATATTGTAATTGTTAGGCACAGGCCATAAAATAACTACGCTGACAATGTTCATAAAAATAAAAACTTGAAATTTCTGGCAGAGAACTAAAACTGAAAAGAGATAAAACATATTTGAAAAAGAATGAAAACTTTAGAACAAAAAAGTTATAGTAACTGAAATTAAGATCTTAAATCACATGCTTTAGAGTAGATTAGAAAGAACAGAAGAGAAAATTTAATTAACTAGATGGAAAGTTAGAAGAGACTACCACCTTTTTAGTTCTCTATGCTGCATTCAGGAAAACACAGAAGACATTCAACTTCAAATGAAGGAACACTGGCACATCCAAGAAAGAGGAAAAAAATGGAGCAGCAACAGCATTTGGAGATAAAACTAAGAAGCTGTGAGAGCCAATAAAATAAAAGTCCACAGATTCTAGCAGCTCAACATAATCTTGCATCAGGATAGAAAAAAAAAATCACTCCTAGACATATATTAAAGTATAAAAAAAATCTCAAAAGCAATTAGAGAAAAAAAAGACTATCATTAAAGGAGTGACAGAACTTCAGTTAACTGTTTAGCAGTAACAATGGAAACTAAGAGTAGACTAATATCATAAATGTGCTGGGGGGAAAAATAATTGCCAATCTAAAATTCTAAACCCAGTGAAAATATCCATTAATAATAAAGACAAAGGATATTTTCAAACAAAACAAATAGGACAAATCTTCTCTATAAAAAATTCTAAAGATGCTTCATGCAGAAGATTCCTTGAT